GGAGGGATCCCTCCCCCGCTCGCTTTCCCATCGCTCTTTGGGGGGGGCAGCTTCTTTTTATATCTTCATGCTCGCTTCAACCCGACTCACAATTCATTGTTGGCCATTTGGCCTCGCTCGTCATCATTTATTTCGCCCGATCTCCAACACTTGTCCCGGTCAGCAGCACTCGTACCATGCGGTCACTCAGCGGCCATCGAAGAGGTCGCCCCTCAAAAGCCCCCTGGCTGAGAGCCTTTTACCAAGGCTCCGTGGGGGTCACAACCCGTCGGACCCCCTCCCACATGCTGGTGTGCAGTTTACATCCCCGGGACGTCCAGGAGATATGTCTGCCTGCATGTCGCCATAAACCGGAAGTTCCGGCAATTTTCAGCTTTGAATGTTCCTTTATGTAATCCCAAAACTCTATGCAGATAGAAAAGCAGCACAGCAGGGAGAAGGGTTCTACCTCCTGCTGTTGCTTGCTGAGCTAGTTTTCTGCTTCTAGGGAGTTCTGTACGTAGGGGAGCATTCTAAAATGGAACCTTCCACCTGGAGCCTGAAGTGGTATGGTCCATTCTATGACCTTGTTCTTTTCCATCTGTGAATCAGGGAATAAGATCCTTCTGAGTTTCATCGCAGACATGAGATTAAGCAGAGGCTTCCTGATTAGCAGCTCTGTCTCTTAGCCACTGTTCTGCACTACATCTGGCAAGCTAGAAAATGTTGTTGCCCTAATTTCACATGGATGCTTCTTCTAAAACGGAACACTTTTAAATGGGAAGGGTGCAATGAAATGCTTGAACACAGGAAGCTGCCTTTATAGCAGACCCACCCATTGGTCTTTCAAGGTCAGTATTGTGTGCTCTGACTGGTAGAAGCTCTGTAGGGTCAAAGTATTTTGTATCACCTACCACTTGATCATTTTCACTAGACATGTGGAGAATTGAACCTAACACCTTCTGCTGTAAAGCAGATTCTCTGTTGCTGGGCCATGGGTCTCCCAATTCTTGCAGGGTTTGTTTTCATAGAATCACAGTTGGAAGGGGCCATAGAGGCCATCTAGTCCAACCCCCTGCTCAGTGCAGGATCAGCCTACAGTATCCCTGACAAGTGTTGGACCAGCCGCTGCTTAAAGACTGCCAGTGAGGGGGAGCTCACCACCTCCCTAGGCAGCTGATTCCACTGTTGCACAACTCTTGCTTTTCCTAATGTCACATCCACATTCCTAATGTCCAGCTGCTACCTTCCCACCCTTAATTTAAACCCATGATTGCGAGTCCTGTCCTCTGCTGCCAACAGGAACAGCTCCCTGCCCTCCTCTGACAGCCCTTGAAATACTTAAAGAGCAATCATGTTCCCCCTCAACTTCTTCTCCAGACTGAACATTCCCAAGTCCCTCAGCCTTTCCTCACAGGGCTTGGTCTCCAGGCCCCTGATCATCCTCTTCAGTCTTCACTCTCCTCTGCACCTGCTCCATTCTGTCCCCATCCACATCCCAGTGGGGACCGAAAGTGGTGTCAATAGTTTTCTTCATAACATCCCTGTGAGGTAGGTTAGGCTGAGGATTTCTGACTAGCTCGAGATTACCCAACAAGCTTCCAAGAGTTGGCAAGTATTCAAGGGTCAGATGTTGTCCATGAGTGGGGAGATGGGCTTGATTTGAGAGTACTGGGTTCTAATGCTACCTCTTCCCTTGAACTCATTCACTACCACAATGCCTGTTTCTTCATTTATAAAATGGAAATAAGAATGGTCTACTTCCTTGCTGGACGTGAGGATAAATACAGAGGGAATTTTAAAGATTTGTTGTTGTTTTTCAGTCAGTAGTAGTGTAAAAACTGAAGCTTGGGTGGCTACGTGTTCCCTGAAGTTCATGTATTTTGCTAAGCACAGATCTTTAAAAATGGTCCTCCTGTATCCTCCCTTGTCTCTTCTAGGCTGCTGAGGATCTGGGCCTTGGAGCTGGGGAGCCCAGTTTCTTTTGCCCCTGTGAAGAATGGACTCTGCTGCACTTACTTCCCACATGGCGGAATCATTGCTACAGGGTATGTTCCGGGCAAGCAGTCACCAGCTAGATCGGTCTCTAATCCAGCACTAATTCATTTTGCTTGGGTAACGCCTTCTGTACCTCTCCCCACCCATCTCTTCTCTCTTGCAGGACAAGAGACGGTCACGTCCAATTTTGGACTGCCCCCCAGGCTCTCTCTTCCCTCAAGCACCTGTGTCGTAAATCTATCCGGCGCTTCCTCTCGACTTACCAGGTCCTAGCACTGCCCATCCCCAAAAAGGTGAAAGAGTTCCTCACCTACCGGACTTTGTGAAGCTGCTGTTTCTGAGCCACAGCTAGATGTTCTACTGTGTGTTGGCTTCCTCTTTAGCCAGCAAGAGGCAGCTGCAGCCCAGAGACTCCATGCTCGGCAAGACCGAAGAGGACAAAGCTTTTTTTTCCCTCTTGCATGGTCTTGAAGGGTAAGATATCTTAATGCTGGAAAAGAAGCTGCAGCAGTGTTGATTACTATGGCCTAGATTGTTTTGGCACCAAGGAAGAAACGTGTATCTTGCAGTGCATTTGACTTGGGAAGTTCCCACCCAAGGAGGCAGTCTGAAGTTTCTCTGCATGGATTTGAAATCAGTTAACTCTTGGATACGGGGAGAAGAAAATTTCAGGATGCTTCTTCCACTGCAGGTAGGATCCATTGTTGCGACACAGGTGTTAATCGACAATGCGCAAAATGCTGTTTCTGGTCTTTCCTGCCCGTAGAGAAGGCTGGATCTGAATCTGTCCCTGCAGCAGAAAAGAGACTGAACACAAGATCCTCGCTACTTGAAAACATGCTGGACTTCAGTGGCCTTTACAGAAATCCATACCTCAGAGCCATAGTTGTTGAGCTCAGAACAAAGAGCAGCCTCTACCCTCCCCAGAGATCTTTATATGGTCCCAAGGTCTCCGTATGTCATTACAGGGCAGCTTTCTTCTTCGGGGCAGGGGAGTCAAGGCTAAAATATGGGGGTTGAGACTTCTGTCACAATCTACCTTTGTTTCAAGAGGATACATTCAGCTGTGAAATCAAGATTTACTGTCGAGTAACATTGATGAGTACTTTTAAAAAAAAGAATCAAGCCTTAGGCTCCTGTAGAATGTGCAATGAGGCAAAAGCTTCAACTTAAAACGCAACACTAGGGAGTTCTTCCCTCTGCATGCCCACCAGGCTTGTGAACAGGAGCTAATGAAGGAAGCTTGAATGTTATAGCAATAGCGATAGGAGTACTGCTTGCTGGAGTTTAGGAACCATGGGCCTAAACTGGGATGCACATTTCGAATATGGGTTCATCTGTTCCACAGTGCTTTCAGTGTGATATGCAACTTTTCGTGCGAAAAATGTTATTTTTTACACTACTGGAGTTGAATCAGGGCACAAATAGCAAACTTAAGGTGCTAAAGATTGATGCATTTGCAGGAGGAAGGGGGGAATAAACTGATATAACAGTGTCTAATTATTATTTTTCTTGCTGTAGGATACAGGGAAGCGTTTCCTTAGTCTATAAGATGAGCCAGGGTTAGAGGACACTGGGGTGCATAATATGAACAAAGAGGTGGGGTGGCTGGGCTTACTCACAGCCCTGCTGTCGTATAAGCAATCTGTGAAAAAGAAATGGGTGGCAGAAAATACAGGCAGGATGCGCTCAGAGCTTTTTTCCCATGAAATATTTCTCCGAAAGCAGTAAGCACCAGGCCGAGGTCAAAGAACAAATGAGATAATTATAGAACACTTTTACTCTGCAACAGTTTTGCTTAGCAGTCTAGTGCTTGCTCATATCTCCAGAAATCACTGTGGCCCGTTAACTCTCCAACATCGTAGGGTAACTGAACAAGCTACCTTAGCAATAAACAGCAGTAATCTCAGCTGAGGTGGCCTTTCTGTGCTTTTGCCCTGACAACTGCAACAGGGTGACAAGGTCCACCATCAGGAGGAAGGGAGAGTTTGTAGCTGTGAGGATTAGGATTTCTATATAAAGGAAAGAAATATAAAATTCTGGCTTCTCCCTTTAAATCTTCACATGCAATTGACCAGTTTATTCTATCTGCCTACCAGCTACTGATAGAACAGGCTTCGTTTATCTGCAAGAGCAAAGGGGTCTCTGTGTTTTCCACCTCTACCCCAAAGGATTACCCTTATAACTTCTGTTTCAAAAATAAGTAATAAAGCCACTTATTAGTGCATATAATCTTAGTGGACTCAATCCAATGACTCCCTTCTAGATTCCTCCAAGAGAATCAACCCAAGTTGCTCCTCAATAGCAGAAAACTTAAGCCTGCTCTCAATGTGCAGCACAACAGGAGGGAATAGGCAGCATTATTTCAAGCGAGAAGCATCGCACTTTTAATGTTTGCTTACCATCTCCCTGCAAGCAGATGGAACCAAGAGGTTCTAGCTTTGCCATTCTCCTATAGTGCTAGTTATGCACTTCCAGAGATTTACTAATATTGGGAAACCTTGCACAGTATAATTCCCTGCCCTGCTGCCTAAAGCAGTGCAGTCTGCTGTGCTGCCTTATTTTGTGGACCTCAGACCTAGGGAGTACCCGATTAAAAGAAGTCAATCACTGCCTTTCCATCATCTGAGCTTTAACAGGGGCCACTACAACTACTGCTTCTTAGAGGGATTCAGTAGCTAGAAGTCCAGAAACTTAGCCAAGGCGTCTCTTGGTGCTATCAAGGAAGCAAGTGCACACACACAGATTTTGTCTTCTGCCAAGAGTGCAGTTTGTCTTGTGTCGATGCCCCGAAAGCCTTTACCCAATTGTGAAACTGGTAGGACAGTAGTGCTGCTAACAGATGGAAGCTGGTCCAAACCCAGAGAGTGAAGGGCCTTGTGAAACAGGACATGAACCGAACCCTGTGAGCAAATGTTTGCTGGATTGAATTGCCACCACAGTCTCTAGCCTCAGTGAGCCATCCTGAACACAATACGAGATGAGTACTGAAGAATCAAATAAGAATCTAGTCCTCTTTTGGCAAAGAAAGGCAATCGATCAGCTGCTGGAGAGACTGTCTTGGGCCTAGGCCTCCGCTACAATCAGATCTCTGGTGACTTGGAAGGCAGCGACCAGGGATCCCAGCTGAATCTTCTCGCTTGTTCCTGCAGCCAGACGATGCCTGAAGAAGAGAGAGCAGCAAAAATTAGAATGCCTAAATGGGAGGGAGCAACTTCTACCCATCGGTAACTGTGCTTGAGTCACAGCACTCTGAGCTACTACTAACACAACTTTTGTTCAGAGCCAGATTTGAAGTCCATTAAAACAAGTTCTCTTCAAATGCTGCAAGTCACACCACTGCAGGGTCCAATCCATTACCTGCTTCAGACCCAGGTGAATCTCAGGGTTCATTATAGACATGGCAAGCAATGTTGTAGGCAATGCTCCCTCTAAGATGTGGAGTCTTGTGAGCAAAAATTCTCCTTTGTGAGCTACTGGCATTAAAGTTGTGAGCAGGTGATTTGGCTACTGCATAAATTAGTTTGCTCCAGAGCCATCCTTCCTGAGCTAAGACAAAAATATGTGAGCTGGAGGCTAAAAAACTGTGAGCTAGCTCACACCAACTCCGCTTAGAGGGAATACTGGTTGTAGGCCTCATAAGGGAAGGATGAAAGTTAAAAATTGAATGTTGATCTGAGTCTCTCAAACTGGGCAAAAAAACACATCAAATCCAACATTTCATATTCCAATTTTCCAAACACAGTGCGTTAACTGGGTATCCTACATATTTTAAAGAGGGAGGGGGGTCTGTGCTGAGAAAATCCCCCTGGAATAAATGCAAGGCTCCACAGACCAAAAAGACAAGACACTTCCAGTCCTGTCAAGTAGTTTTTGCCTAGCACTGAGGGGATAGGGGAAAGAGATGAGCTGGAATGTAATGAAAATCCTTGGAGCAGCCAGCCAGCCAGCCCCCCTTCCCACAGAGACACTCACTCAACATCTGCCATCTTGATCAGGAGTTGGATTCGCACAGATGACGGAAAGTCAACTGGAGAGCACAGGGTCCACCAGGAATATGTTAAGGGGAAAAACAAATCTGGTTATCCCACCCATGTAGTAAAATGGTACGCTTTAAACCTATTTATTTTATTTATTTATTTTATTTCATTTATACCCCGCCCTCCCCGCATGCGGGCTCAGACTAATGGAACCTAGACTAATGGAACATGGATGCTTCTATAAAAGTGGCATTTAGATTTGGCACCCAAAGCCTTGCCCTCTCCTTTCGGATCCCTGAACCTGCACCACCCACCCACCGCACCCTAAGATCTTGCAAACTAAAATGTTAGGATCTGCAACAGGAGTACAGCAACATTCTCCTGCGTGCCCCCCCAGCCAAGATTTCCCTTTCCTGCATGACCCCAGAGATCAGCATCCCACAAGCTGATGGAAAACAGCCGGAATGATCAGTAAAAGAACACACAGTTTTAACTGCCTCAAAGCACTTTACCTCGATGGACGAACAAGTGGATCTCCGTCAGGATGTCATGAAGAGCGAGGCCTTTCAGTGTTTTCAGTTCCATGATATCTGAGCAGGGTGTCAAGGTAAGAAACATGATTGGGGAGAGGGGAGGTTCCAGCGCTTCTGGAAGCTGCTAAAAGAATGCCTTTCTTTGCTGATTGAATTGGGAACGCCCAAGGGCATACGCCTGCATCACTGCTAAAGAGAATGTGTCTTCTGAAAGCTAGAAGGGCAGGAAGACGTGATTGCACAGGGGAAAAAAATAACTCAGGCTTTCAGCTGTCATTTTAGGGTCTCCAAAATTCAAACTCCGCAAGAGAAATGTTTCCCACCCCCACAAGCATTTATAAGCATGCACATTTAGTCTTGCCAGTGGGATGAGGACAGAGAACAGCAGTTGCTAAGTCAGTAGTTCTATCAGTTACACACCCCATTTTTCTCCAAAATGCTTTGGGTGGTCTGTACAGTGTGCTCTTCCCCAATGTTATTATCAACACCCTGTAGCTGAGGTTAGGCTGAGTGAAAGAGAGCAAGAGGTCCCATAAACTCCACAGCCAAGGGAAGAATTTAACCCAGGTCTGGCCACTCAACGTCCCACCATAGGCTACCCTGTAGGTTGCAGAAGCTAGATCTCAGCCTCCAATCTGAGCCACCCCCTCCACTTGGCTGGGGGTGGGTGGGTTCATGCTTTTACATTTGGAGATGAACTGTAGGTGCATGGCTTCTCACTGCGCAAAGAGCTCTGCTGTCCTCTACCTTTGTTCTTGAACCGATGCACGTGCCTGGATCTGGACTGAAGGCAACTAGAGCACGAAAAAAGGAAGAGGCGGGTTGACCAGTGAATTTTTGTTCCACTTGTGCTCCAGGCATGATCAGATTAAACGAATTATCTCCTTGACTTGCTACTCCAGTTTGAAAGGCTATGTCTTGATGCCACAAGAACGACTCGCATAAACACGGGGGGCTCAGAGAAGTACACACCTGCTGCCAACCTTACCGGTTTCAGAGGAGGGCACCGTAAAGGATACTGCGATAGGCGGTGGTGAAATCCTGGTTCAGCATCCAATCCAAGATGTTGGCGATGTCAGACTTGAGCGGCTGCCCTGTGCAAGTGTAGACCGTCTCTTCTGTCACCTTCCCAAAGGCCATGTTAGTGCTCTGGCAGAGAACGAGGAGAGAGGGAAGACAGCTGGGTCAGCTGACATGCATAAGTCACAGCCTGGAAGCTGAAGCCACTGCAGCCTCAAGAGGGAATCAAAGCAATTATCCGTCTCCTTTGGTCAAACCAGCCAAATTTATTTCCCCCCCTCCCCCACAACAACAACCCACACATGAGATCAGCACTGATTCACATGAATTTGGCAGCAAGCCTGGCCAGATTATACAAACTGATTCAGCTATACAGTTCCAAGGGAAGAAACTGCCTGGCCCTGACCTCAGTTGCATTACATGGGAACCTGCAGTTTGATGAACAAGGGATCAATCGGTCTCACTTATCAGGCGAGGGATCTCAAAGGAGCTGAGCCAGAGCTTTGGTCTGCCACTGTGAACCATCTACAGCAAGTACAGTGACCGGCACTGTTAGAGGGGAAGACCCATCTAAGCCCATGTGGACCTGCATATTTTGGCTAGGGGAGTCCCAGCTTTGCTCAGGGAGGCACTGCTCAGCTTTTGCTCCCTGGTATCCTCCAAGGCAAGCACTGCATGAGAGTGGGGAAAGAAGAAAGTGCAAGAGTCAGAAGGTGGCAGAAGAAATCAGGGCTCTAGAAGGAACAGCTAGTCATTACTACAAATTACCGAGAAGGCAGAGAGGACAGCATGGAGCAATGCAAGCTTCTAGGGTCGGAGGAGAAAGGAAGGCGTGCTACCAAAAAGCCAGCCTTTCTAGCACAGGATAAGTGGCATACCCTGGGAGGTACACAGAGCTAGAGAACACAAAGGAGCCCTGCCCACTGAAGTCATTTAGTTAAATAGACCCTCCATGTCCAAGACAGTACACTTCCCAATGCTGGGGCAAGAAAAAGGCTCTGCTTAGAACCCCCCCCAGAAGCATTGGGCTGACCACTGCTGAAAACAGACCGTTATACTATACAGAGCTTTGATATGGTCCTACAACAGTGTCTTCCTCATGTCCTCCCCTGGCAGAACATGAGAGCAGAAACTGATCTGGCCATTGGAGATGAAATCAGCACACAGGCTGACATACCTGTAAGATGTTCAGAGCCCTGCGCATATCACCATTAGACAGTGTAACCAGGCCCTTCATTCCATCGTCGCTTACGTCAACTCTGAAAGGCAAGGAGGACTTCAGTTGGCAGTCTGGCGCTACACTGGCCCTAGGATTCACCCCACAGAAACAGCCAAGGATGGAACCAATTGAGTCAGCCTGGCTTTAGCGGCATCATCTCCTTTTGCTTACCTTCAGCAAGAATTCACAAGGCGGATACCATGCTTTGGGACCCCCAAGGGGACTATATGACTTGCTGATCCCTTCCAAATTCAGCTTTCTAAATAGCTCAGCAGAGCACCCCAGTAACATATAGGGAAGGCACAGACAGGGATCAGGTGCAGTATTGGGGCTCCCAGTACTGCACAACATGCAGGGTAACAAGCTCTCATTGGCATGAACAACAGGAAGAAGGAGGCACTTCAGTCCCGATACAACAGCGCAGGGCTTCTGACTCACTTTTCCTGCTCTATAACACGCTGCAGGCGGGGAACCATAAGTTCCGGCGTCAGGGGCCCGAAGCGAAATCTGGTGCACCTGGATTGCAAAGCCGGGATGATCTTGGAGAGGTAATTGCAGATCAGGCAAAATCGGGCGTTCTCCGTGAATTTTTCAATCACTAGAAAGACAGCACATGGCAGCGGGAGTTCAACCCAGCTGAGGCCAAAGTCAGCCCACAGATTTACTGAACTCAAGAAATCTGACAACAGCATCCACAGACAAGAGAATTATCTATCTTCAGCTCCCCTCCCACCACATGTGCACACACATACCCCTATAATGTTTCTGTCCTCTGCTACCGACAGGACTGATCACATAAAGCCCGCATCCAGCAGAATTTCAGCCTGCAGAAATCCCAACACTTAGGGACAGCATGCTCTGGAATGTTATGCTTTCTTACGTTTTCCTATCTGACCTAATTCTTGCCAAGCTAGTAAACCTACGCCTGAGACAATGACCAGGAATTCAAAATGGCAGCTGTGTCCTGCAGTAATATCTCAGATTCCAGATACGTGCACTTGCAGAACATGGAACAGCCTGGCTAACTGGTGTCCCCTTCTGAGCCGCTGAATCTTCACACAGTCACAAACCTCGCCTCACTGCTTGCCCAAGATGAACTTACCACGCCGGAGGGCATTCTGGGCATCCTGCGTCATCGCATCGGCTTCATCCAAAATCACCAGCTTAAAGCCTTTCCTAACAGAAGAGATTGAGACAGGGCAGTTGAGGGCTACACATTCATCCAGAGCTTTAAAACAAAAGCATGCGGGGAGAAACAACACACAGACATCCTTCCACACTGACCCAGCAGTAAGTGTGGGGGGACGCTAAACACAAAGATGCAGTTAATGTGATGTAGTGGTTAGTGTCAGACTAGCATCTGGGAGACCACGGTTTGTCTCTCCACTGTGCCGTGAAAGCTCACTGGCTGCGCTTGGGCCCGTGTTTCTCTCTCTCTCACACACACACACAACCTAATCTACCTCTCAAGGTTGTTGTAGGCATAAAATGGAGGATCGAGAACAATATAAGTCCCTCTGGATCGGCATTGGGGAGAAGGGCAGACTGCAAATGAAGTGAACAAAGCACACACACACAGAACTCTTTAGCAATGACTTGGCAGCATCTTTTGACAAAATCTGCAGAAGACAGTATGTTGTCCCGGGTTGCTCTCCAAAACACTAAGCAGGTCACTCATACGGCTGGGGGAGCCGGGGGGAAATTCTGCTCACAACACCTTCCAGTGCATCCATAGTGATTAATGCTGGCACTGCCACCACCTCCTGGTGGCACTGCCCATTCCTGAGTCAAGCAAGAGGCAACAGCAATAAGTCAGTTGCTTGTATTGCCACCAATACACGGGGCATTGGCAAACGTTCAGCTGAATGATGAACACACCCGGGTATCTAAAGCCAAAGTGAAGTTGTTGCAAAACAAGCAGCAAAAAAGCCAAGAACCCACTCACTCTGTGTAGCAAACCACCACTCAGACATTCACAAAACCCTGTTTGTTTTCAATGCTGTCCTGTTTAAATTGAATGTAGGAAACATCTGAAGATGCCTTAAAAAAAGTTCAACTGTTCGCCCATCTAGCTCCGTATCAGCTTTGACTGGCAGCCTCAGCACCAGATTTTAGCTGGCACTTCCGGAGATTGAACCTGGGACATTCGGTGTGCAAAGCACTTGCTCTGCCACTGAGCCAGAGGATAACCCCTCCCCATCAATGGGGAAGAAAATAAGAGATGCCAATGTTGGATCAGGCCAAAGGCCCATCCCGTCCAACACTCTGTGTCACACAGTGGCCAGAAATACCAAGCCAAAGTGAAGTTGTTGCAAAACAAGCAGCAAAAAAGCCAAGAACCCACTCACTCTGTGTAGCAAACCACCACTCAGACATTCACAAAACCCTGTTTATTTTCAATGCTGTCCTGTTTTAACTTGAATGTAGCAAACATCTGAAGATGCCTTAAAACAAGTTCAACTGTTCGCCCATCTAGCTCCGTATCAGCTTTGACTGGCAGCAACATCTGCCTCAGCACCAGATTTTAGCTGGCACTTCTGGAGATTGAACCTGGGACATTCAGTGTGCAAAGCACTTGCTCTGCCACTGAGCCAGAGGATAACCCCTCCCCATCAATGGGGAAGGTGTGAGGGAAAGGGAGGATTGGGCACACACTCCTCTTGTCCTGACCTCAACGCATTTGGGTGACCATCTGCATGAAACCTACATGGCAAAGGAAATGGAGGGTTCCCAATCACAAGTCCTCCTAAACACGTACAGTTACCGGCTCTATGTATACATGCCCCCAAACAAGAGAGGATGGAAGTGGCTATCCTGTGCCTCCTCTCTCCACACAATCAAGCAGCATGCTTCCATTCATTTCATGTTTTTTTGGGGGGGGGAAACACTATTGTCACCAAAGTCGGAAAACTGGAAGAAACAGTGAAAAATTCCCACTCCTCCATAGCTTCTGATTCGCCATTCCCTCTCAGACTGTCTCCCCCCTCCCGACACTTCTTTTAGGAGAATGAGCTTAGGAGAACACCAGACACTTACTTAAATATGGTCCTTGTGCTGGCAAAGTTCAGGATAGGCCCTCTGACAATATCAATGCCCCGGTCGTCTGAAGCATTCAACTGTCAAGAGAAGGCGCAGGATATAAAAATTAGGACGGCAACCTTTCATCACCCCATTAGAAGAAGTCAATGAAAATCCCTTTTGGTCCACCGAAAAGGCACTCCTATATAGTTTGGCAATGGATTTTTAAGAAATAATCTTCACATACACACATACATTTTTTTAAAAAATACAGCCAGTGGTGCCACCTTAGAAAAGCCATTCCTCCTCTTACCACATTTCAGAGGGAATGACTCTTCTAAGACACGGCTGCTATGATGCATATATGCAGCATCTTTAAAAAACACACCCCAAAAGGAAAATACGCCTTTCTTCTAAGCTATTGTTTTCTTCGTAAAAGACAGGCAGATTTAATCATGGAAATCTATATTAGCCTATCAAGTGAGTTTTAAATCGATTAATTTATTGATGGCCCCTGGCCAGTTTGGTGTAGTGGTTAAGTGCGTGGACTCTAATCTGGGAGAACCGGGTTTGATTCCCCACTCCTCCACTTGCACCTGCTGATGTGACCCTGGGTCAGTCACAAGCTCTGGCACAGCTGTCCTTGAAAAAGAGCAGTTTGTGTCAGAGTTCTCTCAGCCCCACCCACCTCACAGGGTGTCTGTTGTGGGGAGGGATTAAAATGAAGAAAGCCAGACAACTATTTCTAAAAGTAAAACACAAATTAGTGTATTAACCATATTTTTTCCCTAATACAGATTAAAGCAACTTGAATGTGGGTGATTTGAGCAGGGAACAACATACGAGGGGAAGAGTTACAGAGCCCATCCCTCCCATTCTGCCCTCTCCGGGAAAACCACAGTCCTATCGGCTGCAATCTGTAAAAGAAAAAAAGGCCTTTAAGATAAACACAAAACTTCACAGGATACTTAGATCTACCTAGAATCCTCAGGTAGCCACATGGTCAAAACCATTTGACTCCCTCCCCCTATAAACAGAATGACCCAGCGCCTAGAGAAAGCACAAGAATGTCTCTGTTCCCTTACTTCCAAAACCATCGATCCAAACTCTTTGTCTTTGTAAAGTTGTTTCGCGCAGGCCAAAATGGTGGAGGTCTTGCCTGTCCCTGGAGGCCCATAAAGGAGAAGATGAGGCAATCGGTCTTCACTGATGAACTTCTGAACTGGAGAAAGAATTGAAAAGGACGCCTCCGCTTAACATTATAAGCGCATTATTTATTGCTGCTGATACAGTTGAAACAGTTCAATGTAATATAATGGCTCAGAATCCCAAGACACCAGCTCTTACATAAGAGCCACATAGTGGCCAGCTGGAATGGCCACTGTGGGAGATAGTTCTGGAAGGGGAGGAACCCAAATGGCAATTGGTCCGGGCCAAAAGAGACAGCCTCACCGCAGCCCGACTAATGTCAGGGGCTAGTTGGCAACATACCTTGCCTGTTATAAAACAGTTATACTGGTTAGCAGCCTGGTTCCAAGCTCAATTCAGCGCAGCACTACCTTTAAACCTCTTCGTGGCCCTTGGCTGAAAAGACCACCCGTCTCCAGATGTTCCCATGTGCAGGGGTCATTTCCTGTGGGAGTGCACAGGAGCAGAGCTCCAGCAGTAAGGAGCCCAGGGGGCGGGCACATGCAACAAGCCCCGCTCCCTGCTCCCAGCAGCCCTCAGTCAGAGCACGAAGCAGCCAGGTAAGTTGCAGAGCCACCCGGTCCAAAACAGTCCAGTGGCACCTTTAAGACCAAGTTTTATTCAGGTACAAGCTCTCCCTCCTCTGCGAGGACAGATCTGCATGTCCCCCCCCCCTTACAGGGTAATCTGGAGTTTGAGCACTTGAATGAGATTTCAAGAGATAGCCATCTTGGTTTTTATGCGAGGAGTATTGAATATATTTTTCTATGATTATAACTGGTTTTAAAAATCTTAATTGTATGTATTGTTTTATGTTATGTTATGACTTGGTAATATGACTTGTAAGCCGCCCTGAGCCTACGGGGAGGGCGGGATAGAAATATAAATAATAAATAAATGCTAATGAGCTCTGGCACCTCTTTTTCTACGAAATGACCCATGCCCATGTGCAATGGAGTCATTGGGCCAGCTTCCCATTCCTTCTCTTCAAGTTCATTTACTGACTTCATTTATACCCTGCCATTCTCCTCAGCGGGAACCCAAAGCAGTTTCCCTTGTTCTCCTCTCCTCCATTTTATGCTCACAGCCCTGTGAGGAAGGTTAGGCTGACAGTGTGTGACTAGCCCAAGGTCACCCTGTAAACTTCCATAGCAGAGTGGAGATCTGAACTCGAGTCTCTCAGATCCTACTCCGACACTCCAGCCACTCCATCACAGCTTACAGGACCCCTCAGGATGACAACTGTGATCAGTTAAAAAGCATTTCCTTCGAAAAACTGTCCACATCTCTTTACCTCATTTGGGGAGTCTCACTATGTACATAAGAACATAAGAAAAGCCAATGTTGGATCAGGCCAATGGCCCATCCAGTCCAACACTCTGTCACACAGTGGCCAAAAATACCAGGTGCCATCAGGAGGTCCAGCAGTGGGGTCAGGACACTAGAAGCCCTCCCACTGTTCCCCCCCCCCCCCCACCCCCAAGAATAAACTGTTGCCCCCCCCCCACCAGCACCGAGAATACAGAGCATCACTTGCCCCGGCCTGAGAGTTCCTATCTATACCTTGTGGCTAATAGCCACTGATGGACTTCTGCTCCATATGGTCATCCAACTCCCTCTTGAAGCTGTCCATGGTTATAGCCGCTGCCACCTCCTGTGGTAGTGAATTCCATGTGTTTATCACTCTTTGGGTGAAGAAGTAGATACCCCCAACGGCGAGGCAAACAGCATGTTTGCTATGTGCACTGAGAGGATCATTCCAAAATAAAACTGCAAATATTCAGTACTTACTGGTACTCAGAATATCCTGATGAGAAATCAGATCGCCCAACGTCTGAGGTCGGTATTTTTCTACCCTATAATTAAAAAAAACCCCTATGAATAAAAAAACCTCAGAGCCGAAGTCCGAAGCATTAAAAAATCCCTCAAATCCCTATATTTGGTGTAATCATCAATAGATTTATACTTGCTTTATCAGAACTAACAAAACAGATCAATTCATGAGAACAGCTTGCCATGCATATTTCTCATGAAGCATTAGGGAAATTTCAAAAGCTTAAGCCGCAAGCATTCATAGAACACCCCCACCCCCCAAAAAAGAGTTAATTTTGGCAAACAAATGAATATGTTCTAATGTGTTTAATGATACATTATTAAAGAGTTCAGTGCTTTTGACATGATAAACTTCAGATTGCTTTCCAACAGTGAGAAAATTTCTGTCCACAATTCTGTCAGCTTCTTATAAACGAGCACTGCAAAGCATTCAGTAAGTATTTAAAATTCCTCAGTGACAATACATTTCTATGTACCTGAGAAATCAGCCTTAATTTCCCCAGTCCTGAACAAACTAGAGAGAAGCAACAAACATGCATGAAAAATACTCAGCTGAGAGAAGCAAATAGCTTGGTTCCTCTGACCAGTTACATATGGTCAAAGAAAGTGCCCTTTTTTCAGGGCTCAAGTATCTTTAAGAAAAGCATGTCAGATGGGTTTGCAGTGTTTAATGAGGGTGTGTGTTAAGTGCTGTCAAGTCAATTCTGACTTATGGCAACCCTATGATTTAATGTCCTCCAAAACGTCCTATTGTTAACAGCCTTGCTAATGTTTTGCAAACCGAGGGCCATGGCTTCCTTAAATGAGTCAATCTATCCCATGCTGCCTTCAGCTTTTCCTAGCATTACTGTCTTTTACAATGTTTACTACAGCTGAACAGTTCTTGGTTTGTCCTGTTTTTTTGAGACCAGCAGTTTCTTAACCTCCTACATTCAAGCAACCGGGAACAATTCCCATGTACACAGGACACTAAAGTTCAAATTAGACAAGAGTGAGATCTTGGATCTTTGTCACTCTTCTAATGACTTGGCTACGAAGTGCCCCAATCTGAACCATGTGCAGAGGGTAGAGGCAGGTTTTAAATGCTTGATTTTTAAAAGATTTCAGTGATTAGCCCCTTGTCCTGATATTAATCTCTTAAAAGGAAAATGACACACAGCTGTCTCTTTTGTTCTTTAAAAGGCTCCAACAGTGCAGGGTGGCACATTTAGATTTGCAAGATAGCCATCGGATCCCACGGATGACAGTGAAAAAGATTCTGGGAAGATGTGATGATGGTATTGCAACGTCTTATCTGTTTCAAACCTGACAGCACTTAGAAATGGCTTCTGGTACTATTTCTTTCTGATACTATTGTTCATGAATTTAAACTGAGGTGTGTTTGTTCTTAAGCTTGTATTCTTAAATACATCTCAATCTATTTGAGATCTCCCACTACTTTTGAACTTTTCACTGCCCCTAGAAAGACTGCTTGGAGAAACTGTAACACCGCAGCAGGGAAGTCGTCTTCTTCATTACCCAATATTGATCACAGGCTTTTTTCCAGATGTTGTGTGTTTGGCTCATTATTAAGTAGTTATGAAACGGACTAGCTGACAGTCTCCAGTTGAGCCATTTCATATGTAGCCTTTGGGCCACCACGCTGATTTCGGAGAGATTGTGTGACAACTGACATTTGTTTTGTTGTATTTTATTGACTTTATCAAGTATACAACTGTAATCCACAAATCAGCTACAGTGGGCTGGAGTTGAAACTGATGTCATAATATATTTACTGTCACATCAGATTCTGTAGTACACTTATTTAACACATTTCCTACTGTTCCTGTTACACAATCAAACACATCTGGATATAGAAACAAACACATCATCATTTCGGGCATTGTGTGTGTTTTCAATTTCAGACGGGTGCCCTTGTTTTTTAGAGATTATTTGAAAAAATCACAGAGCTTTTGTGCTCCAGGTTGTTGTGGTTTTATTCTTTTGTGGTTCAGCATGAAAAAGGGCGGCCTCATTTACTTACTGCTATTTGTAAATCTCCAGAGAAATCTGGTTTGCCCACCCTAAACAACCCCATCATTTTCTTGCTTCCATGTGGCTACAAAGACATCCCCAATCTTTCTGCAGATGGTGGCTGGGGTAGACAGAGGCTCAGTCTCCCATGCTTGATTTCTTTTACACAGCTATGCTTGATTCCTATCATGGACTTCTGCAGTATTTTTTTTTTTAATTTACAAGCTTGACTCATAGAAAACACTGTATTATACATCAGGTTGCCAACTCCAGCTTGGGGAATTCCTGGAAATTTAGGGACAGTGCCTGGGAAGGGTGGAGTTTGTGCTGGGTAAGGAGTTCCATGGAGAAGGGATGCTATAGACTTTGCCCTCCAGAACTGATCTTTCTGCCCAGAGAGCTGATCTCTGTAGTCCAGAGATCAGCTGTAATTCCAGGAGAATTCCAGGCCCCACCTAGAGGACTGACAGCCCTAATTATACAAGTTGTAATTATACCCAATGATACATCTTAGTTCTTTAGTACTTCTACATAGGTTATTTCTCTCATCACACGACCAGCTTGACTTTTAAAATTAACGTATTTTGCCTTGTTCAGCATTTTTTTTTAAACTGCCATCTGCTTCTTGTACATACCTTCTCTAAATACTGAGGAACAGGCTGAAGTCGGGAGGAGGATACTATCGTGTTTAAAACTGACCTATCTTTTTAATCTCCCCTACCAAGATATATGGTTGGTTCTCACTCTCTACTTGCCCTCACAATCCGTCCGTCCTTCTCCCTAGAATTTTAAGGTCTACCACATCTTTTTATCCTGAGATTTATTCCCCTTCATGAACACCCCTAAGCGGCAATACAACGCAATGTAACTTTAGCAGCATCATAACTTTTGAGACTCCAACCCACGACACAGAATGTGGTTTAGGCGGAGAGGAAAACAGCACTCTACATATGCTCAGGAGAATTATCACTACTTAAAGAATGCTTTACAAAGGCCATACACTCAAGAACAGAACTTGAAACGCACATAAGGAAACGGCAATAATAGGAAAAGCTACGCAAATAGAAAACAAAATAATAAATGCCGGGGGAAATCAGCAATTAAGCCATCCCAGTATCCTAGCAACAACCCATCTCCCTTTTCCTATTACCAGGGCAAGTTCGTGGCCTTTGCGGCCACCGTCTTTTCCAAGGAAGCCGCGCGCTCCATGACGATCCCGGCTGCACTTTGAAAGAAACACCGTCACCTCCCTTCTCTGGCGCGAAAGGGACCAATGCCCGACTCTCGCGAGACTTGCGCGACCTCGACTCCGCCTCCTCCTGGTTTTCTCGGTCCCGCTGCGTTGCTAAGGCCTCTGGTAACTAAGGGGCGGGGCTTGCTACAACCTTGATGGGGAAAGCAGGTGCTTCTTTGCAAGGGCTGCGTAGCCTGCGAGCCTCCTCTGCTGCCACCCCCCCCCCACGGCCTGTGGTTCAGACCACGTGGATGAATTCCTCAAAAGCACCTCTTTTATCTCTCTGGCCGCGGGGAGACGACTAAATATCACCGGGGGGGGGGAGGTGCATATGTATAGGCACGAAACACAAAAAAATTAAAATGGCCCTGAGTAAGCCAAGCTCAGCCGCTCCGTGGTGCTACAACCCAGTTCTGCAGGGGCCAAGATGGGTGTTGGCACCTCCTCGACTCCCAGCAATGGGCAAGTCTACCCCCAATTTGGGTTGCCAGCTCCTGGTTAGGAAATACCTGAAGATTTGGGGAAGGTGGGGTTTGGGGAGTGGAGAGACCTCAGCAAGGTACAATGCTATACAATCCATCCTCCAAAGCAGCCATTTTCTCTAGGGGAACTGATCTCTGGAGTCTGGATATCAGCTTTAACAGTGGGAGATCTCCAGGCCCCACCTGGAACTTGGCAACCATTATACCAATAGTTGACACCCTGGCCCCTGCAGTGCCAGCAGGGCTACTGATGCTTGGCTTGCTGCCAGTGTTCCTCCTGAGCAGAGGGCCACTGGGATCTTTTAAGTTAAACGGCTAGTCTGTCTCTTAGTACTAATAATAAATTTATTATTATTATTATTTGAGTGTACACAACACACCAAATGCTAGCAAACATACTGGTGTGACTTCATTTTAGTCAGTCAAAATTTAGGCTTTTAAGCCTTGTATTTGAATGTTGCCCATCTCCAAATGTCCACAAAAGAACGAAAACCACTCCGTCTGCTCCTGTAGTTTTAATGGAGTCAGCAGGTGTAGGTTCCTCCCTCCCACAATGTGGACTGAACCATCATGATTGCACCTGTCAAACCAGATCTAGCTGCCCTTAAAAGGGCAGATAAGGGGGCATGATTGCCCTGTAATTCAGACCATACGTGGTTTATTTCCCAAACACACATATCTTATCTCCCTGTCCATGATGGGGTATTTATAGATACATGCAACATGTATGTGAGTTTAGGTATTATATAGCATGTGTGTGTGTGTATACACACACACCAAAATATGCATATGTGTACATATACCTTTGCAAGTAGATAAATAGGTACCACTTCGATGGTACCTCAGCTAGTCATGCCAGCCACATGACCATGGAAATGTCTTCGGACAGCGCTGGCTCTTCTGCTTGGAAACAGAGATGAGCACCTCATCCCTAGAGTTGGATTCAACTGACTTTCGAGCAAGGGAAACCTTTACCTTACATATACCTACCAAATACTATTTAAATACACTGCTGGGGGGACAGTCATTGAATTTTGAATAGTTATAAAGTTATGCCCACGGACCTGGCCGTGAATGTTGTTCCTAGATTTGCCAACTGACCTGGAAAAACGGTGTTCTGTCTCTTTAATAGAGGGTTAATGTGTGAAAATTGACAGGTGAAGCTTTTCATAAAAAGGTAGTAAAGGCCTTTTTTGTAGAAAAAGCCCAGCAGGAACTCATTAGCATAATAGACCACACCCAACAGCAGAAACTCATTAGCATATTGGGCCACACCCCCGACAGTGCAGCTCATTAGCCTATTAGGCCACACCCCATGCCTCCCCAATCCTTCCAGAGACCCCTCTGGCCTGCCCGCCTCAGAGTTGTGGGGGGGTCACTCTCCAGGCCTTCCCTCTGTAGCCACACATGCAAAGGTTTTGGCTGTAGTGGGTGTGGCCAACCCTGAAGCCAGCCGGAACTCCATTCCTGTGCGTTCCTGCCCAAAAATAGCCCTGGTAGTAAATAAGATCACTGCTGAGTAAATAACAGCCCATCAGGCCTCTATTAAAGGAACAGGACATTTTTCTCCAGACCAGCTGGCAACCCTAGGTTACCCAGTGGCTATAGGAGAAAAGCCTGTCCTGCCTCTCTGTCTTTTGTGCAGACATCATCTACAGACCTGCAGGTACACCCCCCCCTCTCCATGACGTACAGCAAACCATTGTCATCATCACACCAGCCAATTGTTGCAGATCCAGCTGCTTTAAAAGGACAGCTACAAGGGCTGGTTGCCCTGCAATTCAGACTGTATATGACTGATCCCTCAAAAGTTGTGCCTTTAGTTATCTCTTTGTGTGCAAGAGGCAGAGGTGGTTTGCCATTGCCTTCCTCTGCAGAGGCTCCGTTTGTGGACTACCATCCAAGTACGGACCCTGCTTAGCTTCCAAGATCAGACAAGATTGGGCTATGCCATGCTATACCCTAACCCCAAGCCAATGAGAAAATAAAATAAAACAGATTTGGCCTGCTGCTGTGCCTTTAACAGAGCTTTGTGATCTAAAATCAGCAGGTGGAGCTGGTTTTCATAGACATGAGCTTTTGCTAATAGCAGAAGATGAAACTGGTGTTCAGGGGACTGCTCATGGGGTAAAGGTGAAATATTTATAACCCTTTCCCCCAGAAGCTGAAATGGCACCCAGTGTGATTGATTTCCCAGTCACAGAGAACTCAAAAAGAATGTCTGCCTAACAATCTTATGTAGTGTGAACCTAAAATGCTTAAATAAAACCCAGTCTCCCAGAACTCAGTGTAAGTCTAGCAAAGAGATCTTATTTCTGAATAAATGCACACAGGATCAACACTGTCTTGGTAATATTGAGGATGCTTAATAAGACAGCTGTGAGATAATCTTCTTCTGTATGGTTACTAGCTTGGCATTACATCTGGATGAGGGTGGATGGGGCTGCAACTTTAAATAACTGGCTTTTAACCAGTAAGGCCAAATTATGTCTGAAACTGCTCTTATTAAGACAATAAATTGTGCTTGCTAAGTCCATATATCTTTAGTGGGAATTTCCCCACTGTATACAAGGAATTGCCCTGACCTTGATAGCCCAGGTTAGCCTGATGTTGTCAGATCTCAAAAGCTAAACAGGGTTGGCCTTGGTTAGTACTTGGATGGGAGACCCCCACCAAGGAATTCCAGGGTTGCTATGAAGAGGAAAGCAATTGTGAACTGCCTCTGAACATCTCTTGCCTTGAAAACCCTGCAGCGTTGTCATAAGTCACCTGCAACTGGATGGTACTTCTCTCACACACACGGAACATACTCTCAGATAAGCATGTGTAGGATTTCAGCCTTGGAAGTTCTTTTCCCTGATCCCAGGCACGGGAACTAACAGTAAGAACTTGCAATATTTAATTGTTTAAAAGCTCTGTGATTTTTTTTAAGGATCTGCCATTAATTGGCTAGAAGATTTTTTAATTTCCTGAATTATTTTAAGGGAAGTATGGGGTTGCTAACGGGTCTGGAGAAAAAAATGTCCTGTCTTTTTAATAGAGGCTTAATTGGTGGAAATTGGTAGCTAATTTTTTTTTTTGTATGAAAGGAAACAACATCCCATTAAGCCTGTGTTAAAGGGGTGAGAAGTATTTTTTCCCCTCTGTCTAGGCAGTTGGCATCTTGGCAAAGGTTTGTAGGAAAGGCTGTTTGATAGGACACGTGTACATAATTGAAGGAGCTGCGGTGGCTCAAGTGGTTCAGATGCTGAACTGCAGGCTGTGGAAGGTCAGTAGTTCAGCAGTTCAAGACCTGAGTGTGCCGCATGACGGAGTGAGCTCCCGTCTCTAGTTCCAGCTCCTGCCAACCTAGCAGTTCGAAAGCAAGAAATTGCAAGTAGATAAATAGGTACCACTTCAGTGGGAAGGTAACAGCGTTCTGTGCGCCTTGGTGTTTAGTCATGCCGGCCACATGACCACGGAAATGTCTTCGGACAGCGGTGGCTCTTCGGCTTTGAAACGGAGATGAGCACCGCAACCCTAGAGTCGGACTTGACTGGCTTTCGAGCAAGGGAACCGTTACCTTTACATAATTGAAAAACAATAGGTTTTGTTCTTTTACAACTATTGTTTTTCTTATATGCAAATTTATACAGATTTAATCTTAATTGCCAAACTCATATGCTTAATTTTAGTTTAATAACAGTCCTTATGCGAACAAAATTTGATCATTGTGGTTATTGACATACTTTTTGAATTTTGATATTATTTAGTTCCTGTTAATAGGGAACGAAAAGCAAATATCTAAAAATAGTATTTCCATATGAAGAGCAGTAGCTTGTGTAAACTTTTTTGTTTTTAATCCCACTCTTCCTTCATTATTTCAAAAAGGTACATGCATTTGGGGTCTTAGTAATACGCAAATGGCTTAAATAATCAACTTTTAACTGATTAACTATGATCAACTAAAATTCTTTGATCTGTTAAACCTGAAATGCTGCAATGTACACATGTTAAACTGATGTTGTCTTCGGTTACATAAGGCTTTGTGTACTACTAGACTAGTAGAGAGACTATCTATATGACCTGTGACATAATAATGCTTAACATTTCACTTTCAGTGTGTGAAACTTTCTCATTCATTCTTACAACAGCCCCGAAAGGTACACCAGCATTTATCTCCATTTTCAAGATGGGGGGGGGGGGCTGAAAGAGGAAGGTGTGCTTAAAGACACCTAGTGACATTGGGGCAGAGCAAAGAACTGAACCACAGCCTCTTCGGATCATAAAATGTTATCTACCAGTCCATGACCTATGCTCCCTCTAAGCTGTGGAGTCTTGTGAGCAAATATTCTACTTTGTGAGCTACTGGCATTTAAGTTGTGAGCAGGTGATTTGGTTACTGCATAAATTAGTTTGCTCTGGAGCCATCCTTCCTGAACTAAGGCAAAAATGTGTGAGCCGGAGGCTAAAAAACTGTGAGCTAGCTCACACTAACTCAGCGTAGAGGAAACATCATCCATGACAATGGTTTGGTTTGCTTTTTTAAA